TAATTTTCAATAATGTAATTTTGAGATTTCGTTGATTAAAGAGTACATGTCTTGCCTTATTTGTGTATATCATTGGTGGAAAGACTAAAATACTCAGTTTACTTTCTTAATTGTTTTTGGTGAAGAAAAAAGAACTATATAGAAGTAAATACATGTGTTTCGTTGTTAAAGATAAAAGAAAATTTTTTTATGTATATGGCGTCTTTCGAAAGAAAGAACTTGCTTCTCTTATCGTACATTATTTGCAAAAAGCTTCGAAAGGTGGTAGAACAACTCTTTTTATGTTATCATAGTAAAGAAACAATACAACAACGTGTGGAAAAGGGTGTGATTATCATTATTATAGTAAGATATTAAACAACAATATGAATAGATTCATTCGTTTTAAATATGATGATAAAAAATTACAACCTATAGATGATTATAAAGATGAATCAATTTCGTCAATAGACTTAGCTCTTCAATCTGTTTTGTCCATCGTTGACCGATTGGATCATTACATTGAAGATGCTAAACACTTTCGTCATTATCCTTCGGATCATGGTCTCACTGAAGACGAATCAATCGCTATATACCTCTACACAAATGACTGGAATGATCAATGTTTAAATCGAGTTTTGAACAATACATTACAATCAAAAAATCACACAACTTTAAAATCTTGGCTGAGTTTTCTGAAATTATTCAATGGAGCACTGAAAAAATTACCGACTGTTCATGATACAACAATATGGCGAGGTTTAACAATTGACCTTGTAGAAAAATTAAATAAAAATGAAAATTTGATATTATGTACTATTATTTCATGTTCATCGTCAAGAACTATTATAGAACATCTTCTTGATGATACATCAGTTCTTTGTTCAATCAAATCATTCAGTGGTAAGAATATTCAGGGTTATACATCTAAAAACGATGAAAATGAAGTACTATTGCTTCCGGGTACACGTTTACGTGTGAAATACAAACAATTGAATAATAAACAAAATAAACCAATCATATATTTAGAAGAAATCAACGAAGTTGAAGATGACTACGAAGTTATCAACAATGTTGAAATGCATGATATGAACAATTCTCTTAATGAGAAAGATATAAGTGAATTTCTAATTAATTTAAATATTTTCATTTCTAATATAATAACTTTGATATAGATGACGTTGAGCACCTGCAAACAACATCTTTGATATCGACTAAGGAGATAAACAACGAAGCACTCTTAAGTACGCATGATTAGAAAATAATCGTAGGAATGATGAATATTAAATCCTTTTCAGATGAAACAAAATCAAAGGAAAATATGATTCATGCAGTAATTACTTTTTCTAATGGTGATCGATATGAAATAGTTTATCAAAATGATAAGAAGTATGGTTATGGAAAGTTTTATAGTATTGACGGAAACGTAGTTCAGGGGCTAAATGCTGATCAGAAGGCTAATGGAGAAGGAATATGTGTTTTTGAAACTGGCAACCGTTTTATTGGAACATACGAAAATGGTAATAGGCATGGCCATGGTATTCTTCTCCCTGGAAATGGAATAATACAAGCTTGTGACTGGAGTGATGATGTGCCAAAAGGTCAAAGTCTAAAAATATGGTTAACCGGTGGGCTTTATGAATGGAAGGACACGATGGGCAAAGAACGTTGGTATCGAGCTTATGATGATGAACATGGAAATAAATATATAGGAAATATAGTTTGTGA